ATTCAATAGTGAAATATGAGCCAGAGGACTCTGGAAACTACAGTACATGTACAGTTAGTACGTTTAAAACTGAGAACAGGAAATGTCTATGAATCTGTCGAATCTGAAAGCATCAGGAAGGTCACTATAGTCCTGTGTAGAATGAGTGCTGCCCATGTTACTGTTACTAAGATAAGATAAAATAGTATCTTAGTTCCATATGACATTAAGATTAAAAATGAGAACACCAGTATCCAGATCCCTTGGGGAGTCATTTCTGTCAGCAGTGCTAAAACCTAGTCAACACCTGGTTAGTCAATATTATTTACTTAAATGAATCTGCTTACACTGGAACATGATTTTCTAATCAGTTAATAGATCTTTGTTACAGCTGTAAAAATAGGAAAATAGTGTAGTCTTTAAATCAGAACATTTCATTTTCACCTTCCCGCAGAGTAGATTTGGAAGAGTGTTTTTGTTCTTACCCTAGAATTTTAAATGTCAGGTCCCAGTAAATATGTTTATTGGTGAGATGGGACTGATGAGAGTGCAGAGGCAATTTCAACTAGCCTGAAGCTCTCTCCCAGTGTGTTTTTGAACATATTTGCTAGCATTTGTGCCGTTTTAGTTTGTGTCAAAGGCAGAGTTCTTGTGTTTAAAAAGACAGGTTTCAGTTAATAAAAAATTCAGGAACTGTGTCAGATAAAAATGACATAATTTCTATTTTGAAATAACTCATGTTCACACTTATGTTGAATTGAACTGAGTGTGAAAAATCCCCATCCATCACCTCCTTCAGAAAGAGTCACCCACCATTCAAAAGAGTTTCTGTGAAATAAAAAATTATACTTGAGCATTTGTCTTCTTAAATATATACATTATATTTAATTTAATAATATAACAGTTATCTGTTACCAAGTGATAAGCACACAAATAGTTCATGTTGAATGTATATCAAGTACATTACAATATCAGTGTATAATATACTGTATATCCTGACCAAGCTACTGTTATTTAGTAGCTACTGTAATTCAATACAGATTTTTCTCTTCCTGTGAATAAGACATTGTTTTATTACAAAACATAATGTTTTGCAAGAACTGCTTAGTCTATTTGTGTTAACTGTTATCAAATTACTGTTATTTAGTTGTCTCTCTTTCATATACAGTACATAAATATCATATGTTTAAATGTGATTAGGCATATGTTCATACTGTACAATACCTTGCAAAAGTATTCAGTTTTCACATATTTTTTTGCAATCTACACATTCAAAGCATAAAACTCTGTGAGAGAGTTAGTACGAAAGAAAATGGAAATAATGATAGTATAAGTTATCAAACCCTTTGCAACAGTAAACAGTAAGTCTGAAAATCAGTTGTGTGATTGCAGTGCTACAGTATGGCTCCCGTACCAGTCAGTGTGCATGTTTAAGATCTCGGAAGGCACTGGCAAACAAAGGGAACCATATGTAGCTTGTTACAGTGTGGATAACTGTTTTAATTTTTATCTTGCCCATTCAAGACCATTTAGTTAAAGAAATGCCCTTTTGACATTCATTTGGAAGTGCTTAGTGTGGTGTGGAAGCATTCCTTGGATCTCACAGAACAGGAGGTAGTCTTGTTGTCACAAACAGTATAATCCATGTGAGTGGAACCCATCCTTGTCAGCCTGTTCTTGGATCACATTGTGCTCTTACATAAATCAAGCTTTACCTTATTGGGCTTAATCTCTCTATATACTGTATGTTGGAATCAGATGACTTAACATTCAAACCCCTTAAGGCACCTCTGAGACATAATTGGAGGAAAGCTGGGACTCCAGCAGAGGTCGAGAGTGTGGAGAGTTCATAAGAGTGTCAAATGCCTCTGTTTAGGTCAGTGAGTGCAATGTGGTTGTTACTGCTAAGGACGGGCATACCTTCTTATGCAGCTGTTCCTTTTTATAAGTCATATAATTTCATTCTCTATTAAATGTGTCATTTATATCATTCTGTATAATTGGTATCTAGGGAAAATGAAGATGTGTGAATACAACAATAAAATTATTGTAATCATAACAATTTTTGTAAATGACTGACTTAAGATAATACTGTGGATTACTGTTGAAAAATAGAACAGCAGAATGAACCTAAAGTAAGTTATGCATGTCATTCTTTTAGCTGGGCAATACAGTATGTACAATAAAGTATGATACAGTAGTATAGGTGGTAGCTCAGACGGCAAGGGCTTCTAGCTCCTGACTGGAAAGTCCCGGGTTCAATTCCTGCTAGGGGCAAGCGATGGAGCTTGCTCTAATTCCTTCCAGATGGCCCCCAGGTCCACTCAGCCTGCTTTCCAAATGAGTACCGACCGGGGTTAATCCTTCTGGGGGTAATAGGCCAGCCGGAGTGTGATGCGGCCCACATCACCTCCACCTCCAGTGTTGGATGGTCAAGAAAAATGTCCTTTGCCCCCCATTCCCCATGGGCCTTTACCGCCTGAAAAGGGGACCTTACCTATCTACAGTGTCTGCCAGATTTATTCATACCCCAGTTGAAATAGGAACAAAACATAGCAGAATGAGTTATAGTTAGGATAATGTGCCTCACTTAAAATTCCAATAATGATATACTTTATTCATAATAGCATTTTACAGTACAAAGTCATAAGCGCTATAAATAATTGTAAACTATGTTATCAGGGGATTGAATGAATTTGAGGTCACTGTACTGTATGTGTTACATTATTTATACTGTAATTAGATCTATCATAGATCTGGTAGTAACTGAGTGTGCATGTGTGCATCTGTGCATTTGTGCTTTTATTAATATGTATAATCTGTAAATTCTATGATTTATACCTTTAAAGGTACTGTATAAATCTCTTAAAGTTCTTAAGATGAAGCATTATTACTTAAATCTCAATAACCTAACCATTCTTCTTTTACTTGTTGTATCCAAAAGGTATGTGTCATATTTTGTTTATACATTGTGGAGCTTGATTTTGAATGTTTAATAAATATTGACATTGTTCTGTATAAAGAGGAACAGCTGTAGCTTAAAATGCAGAGCACAGAAGTTGTTTGGCTCTTAAGTGTCACTCCAGCCTGTGTGTTAACACCAGGCAGTGGAACCCTGCAAAGATACAGGCTCAGAACTGTTCCTCATTAAACAGACACACTTGATTATTCATTAAGTGTTCTTTCTTTCTGTGCTGTGTGAAAAACAATGGCCAGACAAATTGTCCAGATCTCAGCCTCAGGAAACTGAAGTACTGTATAAGTAATGCTTTGGATGACCCTGCAACATTTCATGATGCTAAAAAAAATAACAATCACCCATTTAAAAATACAAATATGTGGTCATAGATGTATCACTACATGTTTGTTCTTGGTTGGTAAGTTGCTTTTACAGTGCTGTGCATTGTTTGTATTATTTCTACTTTTTTCTTTCTTTTTTATGGACATGTCATTTTCAGCTGATGTACTCTTCAAAAACATGCTTCTAATTTTTGGAGTGCAGTTCAAAGTGTGAGTTCCTTTAAAATAGCGCAAATAGCTGTATTCTTGTATGTTTGTGCCCTCCCATTCTCTTGACACCTGCGTCATTAGTCCTTTTTTTAAAAAAACAATTGCGCTGCACAGCTGGATGTTCTGTTCATAGTGCTAGTGTGTTTGCTTTTCTGACTGCCATTCCAGTTGTCAAAGTAGTGAAATGGCAATGTTATTCACTGCCTGCTTCCTGCAGAACCAGATTGCTTTTTCGCTTGTGTCTTTGACAGGTTAGAAACGACACTGCTGTACTTCCTGTACATTTTCTTGAAGCAATGCAGTGACAGCTGAGTTATGGCAGGTGTCAACTGTGGACAAGGCTTTGCAAACATATTTTTCTCTCCCTCTTCACCTAATGACACCCTGACAATAATGGCTTCTGCAGTGGTCAGGAGAGTAGGCAGAATGTAGTTACAAGCATACAGATCCCATGCATTTTGTCCTTCATAGTGACGTGATTTCAAATACAACATCTGAAAAAAGTAGCTGAGCCAACATGGAAGAAATGTGTATATACAGTGTACAGTGTGTGTACATGTTAAAAGGATACCTTAAGGAGCTAGGTAGGATTTAAGCCCTTAAGCACAAAAAGCAATAGTTTAGTACAGATGCACAGAACATTTCATGTTTTTATTTTGATATTCAGTGAGGAGCTTTGTGAAAAAAACAAAACAACAAAGTTAACATACAGTATGTTAAATCATTCTATGTATCACATTATCAAATATTACATGCAGGTTGCAAGAATAGAAAAGGCTTTTCAGCAAAAACATAGGAGAAAACACTACGCAGGTCAAATGCAGTTTGTAACTCTGGAGGAAGGTCAAACACTAACCTTGCCCACTTTCACTCACCTCCGTAAAAATATCATGATTCCAGAGCACCCACTCACACATTATCATTATTGTCCACCTCATTATCACCCTTCCAGCAGCTCCCTGCCTCATTCCTCACAAAACGAGGTGGGGTTCAATCAGCCTCGTGTTCAGCCTCCAATTCCCTTAATTGGATGTATGGAGCCAATAAAGCAAGCTATTTAAAATTATGCATCTACTCCTTCTTAATTAGCATTTGGCCAGATAAATGAATTTATATTTAACAAAGAGGAATGAAGCAGAAAAATATAATTGATGGTTACTACCAACATGAGAGTGTGTATGACAATAACAATCATTTGAATCAGATTTTCTCTGTTCATTTTTGAATAGATGGTGAATGCTCCCCACCCCTCCTCCATTAATGCTTTCAACAGAAGGGTGCTCTTCCATCTGTGTCATTTCATTAAAAGCATAATTAATCTGAACACCACAATCCAAATTCAAATTGGAAGGCATGTCCGATTAAACTGATTTGTAAATGTGGAATTTAAATGATAACAACACGTAAGATTACAAATTGCTGGACTAATTGCATGCTGGTCTTCTAATGCATTGATTTCTGATAGTGAATAATTTCCAGTGTCACAGCCCTTCCTTATTGTTTGGCTGCAGAGGCTGAAGGAGTTGAAGCAGAGAGAGTTTGCTCGCAACGTCGCCTCGAAGTCCTGGAAAGATGAAAAGAAACAGGAGAGAGCTCTCAGAAGGTTACATCAGCTTGCAGAACTCCGGAAGCAATCGGAATGGTTAGTCCTCTCAGTTATGCAGCTGTCACACGGTGCTGTATCTCTTCGGCTATGAGACTGGGCTCAGATTGTATTTGTTTGAACAAGCTGAGAAATATGTTCTTGAAATATTTCATTTTTTTATGTACAGGTTGGATAACAGAAAATTCTTTTTTTTTCCTTAACAATCCCCCGGAATATAATTTTTTTTTCACATATTATTGTTCAATAAATTGAATATTAAGCTAATTATTGAGTTTTGTTAGATTTTTAATGTTGACACAATGTAGATTTTTAATGTTAATGTTCGGCTTGATTTGTTTCAAATCATGAGACTTTATATTCTGTGCTTGAAAAATATCTTACATATACAGTAGATTACACATTAGCAATCTAGTACACTAATCTAGTGCACTCTTTGGGTAGCACATAGCACATGGAGTGACACATGTTGCTCATTTGCAATTAAGGAGACCCAGATGTTTAAACCTGTAGAATTTCCTGCAACACGTGTTCCTGCAAATAAAGGTTTTGTTTTGGCTTCTTTCAGCAGCAGGAGTTAGACCCAGATACATCCCTGATTAAATATTGTGTTCTTCCTTTATTCTTATTCTGTTGTAGATAATAACATAATTTTAATAAATGTGTAATTCACATTAGAAGAAAACAGAAGAGCTCCTTCTTAAACTCATTATGTGAAAAGACACAATTGCAATTTTAATTAAATTATTAAATTCTCATTATGTATATGTTGGTTGAGAAAATAAAATAGGACATTTTTATTGCTGTGTTCTACAGCACAAGAATAATAAATGTATTCGCTACAGTGGCAGTTCAGCGTAAGTGGGCGAATCAGAATTTAATGAACTGTAACTGACATGTGCATTGTATTCAGTGTTATTTTAGATTACTAACCACAGTGGATCATACAATAGTTTAAAAGCAGGCTATTGATGAATGACTCAATGTGGTAGGCTCCAATTGACTTTATTATTTCTATACTCTCACATAGACAGGACTCACTGAAAGACCAAGTCGAATAATGATTATCCTGAAAAATCTGCTTATAGTTCATTATACAAAAAGCTGATAATTAAAAGGTCAAGTGAAACATGTAATTTTGTTAAATATGTGGTAAACGTGAAAAACGATAGTTGGTAAACTGTGTACTTAATACCAATGAAAGATATTTGATGTTTATGATTAATCATTTCCCTCCTGTAGACAATGAAGGGAAACAATAAAAAAAGGCCAGCAAAAGATAGGATACTTGGGATAATTCAAATCATGGGATGCCATATTAAAACTGTACAATGGTTTAGTCAGACTTCATTTAGAACATTGTGTACAAATCTGTTCACCTTTGCTGCTGTAATGGTAAAACGACTCTCATGACAATACAGAGAATGTTCTATTTTGTTCAGCTCAACTGGCATTCACCCAGCAAGCTTCACTTGGAGAGATTACTGCTCAGTAAAAAAAAAACTTAAAGTTTTACAATGCAATGAAGCTACTGCAGGAGATAGCTATAGAAATCAGGTTTTCAGCCGCTTACATACAGTCTCTGGGTAGATAAGGGGATGAGGCACATATTCAGGAATTTTTCAGCCTCTTTGACCTTGGTTCTCTGACTAATGTTTTGATACCCAAGAACACTTGTTCCTGCTGTCTACGTACTGTATAGTACTCCTTCATTCTTTCCCACTCAAGAACCACATAGTGCAGTTCAGCCCTCTGGCTGCTCTGCCTTGCTGGGCCCTGTCAGTGCTCCAGAATAGGTCCAAAGCTGTACAACCAGGTATATTAATGGGATTAAGTGAATATTTGCCCATAATAACTTATTTTGTGCCTATTTATACGGACACAATTGCATTACTCAAGCAATCATGGTGAAATACAGTACCTTGCAACCATGATACACTAGAGTCATTTTGACTATTACAGAAGCAATATGTTACTCCATGAGTTAAAGAGTTTGTTGGACACAGGTGATAAGGCGATTTAGTTGGTTGAATGTCAAAACAAGAAAACCAAGAAAGAAATACATAGAAAGGAACAAATATGCTCCAATTATCATTAAAATAATAAAGTAGATTTGTGCCATTTACATGTTGGAGCAACGCTTTAGATGCAACCTTTGTACAGCATGTCATAGATATACTGCTTGTATGTCTTTCAAAAGTGGCGATACACACCATTATCCTGTGATTTTCACAGTAATTCATAACATTCATGACGTGCTATTAGAATAATGAATTTATCCTGTTCAAATGTAATAGAAAAGATTGCATACTTTTTTGCTGATAACTCTGAATTTCTTGTAGCTAAAGCAATTTATTTTGATGCTCAGGATAGGTTTAATATTATAGCATGTGTTTATGTCTTTACTGTATCTGGAGAAACAGGCTTGTTGATTTACACAGTATTTTCTAAAAAAAAACTTTTTTGTGCACAGCACAGCTGCAACATTCCGAAGATCCCTTGAGGGACAAGAGTTGCTACAGTGTGATTACAGGTCGTCAACAATTAAAATCCAGTCTGTGCCACAAGCAAATGAATAGGTTGTTCCTGTGGTGCTTCTATATTTCCACATTTCACCTTCAGTGTTGCTCAATTATATTGCTTGTCCTTTACACCTTCTTTAAAGGTTCTAAAACTTCATGCTTCTTTTTATCCACAGTGGTCCTGGAAGTGGCCCAAAGTTCAGGGCCACAACAGTCACAGCTGAGGTCCAACAACAAGAAAAAGGCATCTCTGAGAAGGACTACGGAAATGGAAATCACTACATCTTTCTTTCCCATGAAGACAATGCCCCAAACAAAGCACCCAAACGTTCGCAAGACCTGCTTGTCACTAAAGAAAGGCTTCACATCCGAAATACCCAATTTGGCTTAAATTCAGCTTCAGATTACAGCAACCAAAGGGCTGGTGTCTCATTTTGCTTCTCTAAAAAGGCCCAGCTGAAGCTTGAGTCCTCTGCATCAGTTTTCAGTGACAACACAGAAGAATCCAACGACAGAGAAAATCCTCCAACACATAAAGTGAAGCAAACTCTTGAAACATTAAGATCTCCTAATCCTTTACCTGGAAATACTACACTAGATATTATGGAGGAAAGACATACAGAATATCAAACGGACAAAAAAATGCAAGAGAGCAAGGACAACTGCCTTGAATTCAACCAAATTTCTTCAGCACATAGTACAACTGATGACCAGTGTTTTCCATTAACAGTACCCTCAGGCTCGCTTGAGAACTCTGCTTTGGACAAAGAACTGAGAGAGTCGAGCTTAGGATCTCAATCAGAAACAGAAAGTAATGAACTGAATAAGACAAACTGTTTTGCTGTGAGTGATATCAGTCTCAAAGGTGGGCAGGCTGAGAGAGATTCAAGGCAAATGCAAAGAAAAACTCTTATACAAGAGACTATTCAAATGGAAAAAGGCACAGAAATTGTCTATGATACAGTCACAGTCAAAACCGAGGACTCTCAAAACAATGCCATGGAGGCAGATGATACATATTGTGTGGAAAATGTATATGGGGGTTGTGATGAACTGAATAAGAAAGTAGGTCCCTTCCTAAATGTTCTTAACAAAGATGGGTCAACTATGTTGAAATGGCCATCAGAGCTTTTACTTTATACAAAAACGGAGCCCTACATTTCATATAGTTGTAATCCTCTGTACTTTGATTTTAAGCACTCCAAAAACAGACAGAATGCTCATGATGACGTGCAGAATTCAAGTACAGAGATATGTCAGTTGATCGTAACTGCTGATGAAAACAATGATAGAGAGAATGACCACAGCAACTTGGATTCTATAGAGCTACAAACCCCGGGTCACCCAGAAAATAAATTTAATAACCAAACCAAGCCAAAGAGTACAAAACATTACAAAGCATGCAAAACTCCCAATCTTAAATTAGAAGCAGACAATACATCAAGCTCTAGTTGTAAGCACAATGTAAATTCCCAGTTGGAGCCTGAAGCATGCATAGAGTCTACATGGCTTAACATGTCACTAAGCAAAGGTGTGAGCACAAAAAGATATAGATTAGGAAAGCAATCTTTAAAGGATGAAACTTCAAATGATAGTGACCTAATAGATCAAAGTCAAAGAAATATAAAGCACTTGCTTCCCACAGTACTGGGTAAAAATCAAAAGCAAACATTTCTTAATATCAGTGGTAAAAATTATAGCGAAGAAACCTCTCCAGATCACATTGATTTAAAGGCAAACAATGATCATTTAAAATGCAACTTAAATGTTGGAGTTTGTGAAAGGAAAGGTTCCACTAAGTCTTCTAGTGAGAAGTCTGGCTCTTGGTGCAGCTTTTCAGATTTGGATACTGATACTGAGGGTGGATCCTATCGATCTGAAAGATGTTCATCCTCGTGTGGGTCATCTTACAAGTCATCATCAAAAAGAGACACTAGCTACTCCAGAACACATGGCAGCACTTCAAGCTGTAGCAAAACCTTTTCCAGCTACAGATCAAGTGATGACAGCTCCAGTGGTGACACAGCTCACTGCTCAGCAAGAGAACATGATTCCCATCAGGATTACAAGAGTGCCCACCGTCATAAAAAGAGGAAATACTCCACGTCGTCTGAGGATTCAAGTGAGATTGGCATTAACTTTAGCCACAGCATGAGCAGCAATCGAAAAAGAAACAGGAGGCAGTGGGCAATTTGTAGACGAAGCAGAAGTTCCTACAGTAGTAGCACTTCAGATCAAAGTACAGATCAACACAGTTGTTCTCGCCTGCGGTACAGCTCCAGCAGAAAGAGGCATCATTCTGATAAATCTAGATCTAAATCCAGACATTCAGGCAGTAAAAGCAGATCCATTGATATGCAATCAAATAGAGAGAGAGTCAGCTTCTTCTCTAGAGATCAAATGTGTTCTTTTGATTTTGAATCAAGCAACAGCATGGAGGTAGCAAAAGACATTGGAATCCAATCTAGATGTCAAACCAGCTATACTGCAGTGAGTGATAGTAGAAAGCATGCAAGAACTTCTCCAAATGCCAGTACTGTTGAGCAGTTTGTAAAAAAATCTCCAGACAATAATGATAAAAACATTATAGGCAAAAAACACAACAGTACGTCATCATTACCATTAATAGGAAAGCTTCCTGCTGTCAAAAGAAATGTTAAGAGAGAGGAGAATAACAAATTGAAAAGTAGTAACCGTGAAGCAGCAACAAACAGAACTCCTGTTGACCCCCAAGAATTTCAGAGTCCACTCCCAAATGCTGAGGGCAAATCTATATCAATGCAGAGCAAAAATCCGAAGTCAGATACACTACAGACTGAGAGGCAACTACAAGACCCTAAAGGAAGAGAGGAACTTGATGCAATGCCTCGGGCTTTTTCATCAGAGGCATGTGTTTTTTCCATTTTTTCAACAGAAAAGGAGAGCATCATGTTGCCAGACCCTGGTCAGAACTATCCCCAGGGGCAGTGGCCAAAAGAGTCAGCTTTTCAGGCTGGTACCCATTATGCCGAGGAAAAACAGGCTCAGATGGAAGAGCCCTCAAAATGTGTTTCACCCCCTCTGACTGAGCAGCCCATAACCTTCACTCCCGATGAAATTGATAAATACAGGTTGCTGCAGCTCCAGGCTCAGCAGCATATGCAGCAGCAGCTGCTCGGGAAGCACGTGAAGCTGCTCCCAGCTCATTCAGAGGTGCCGGGCTTCAGCCCCGTGCCAGCGTTTCAGTCCGTCCCCCTACCCCAACCAGGCCCCCTTCCCAGCATTCAGCACACGCTGCTGCAGCAGCGTGCGGTGGCATCCTTCGCTTCTGCCCTGAACCATCATCCTAGTCATCAGCCCCTGACTCACATTCACCCTGTGCCTCAGCCGCACTTTGCACCCATTTCTCTCTCTCCAATTGCCCCAGCTCTTTTCCCTGCCCACCCAGCTGCTCTATTGGCAGGCCACCCTTTTCATTTCATCCCGGCGTCTACCTTCCACCCAACCCATCTGGCCCTCCATCCTGTGCCACACAGCTCCCTCCTCCCCGCCTTACTGACTCCCAGCTCTGCTATGGCTGCAGCTGCAGCTTCAGGTCTCCATCTGCACCCCTTATTTCACCCGCTGTTCCCCGCACAGGACCTGCAGCACCACTCGGGCCCTAGCAGTTAAAGTCCTTGCACACTATGAACACAGTACATTAGAAACAGTAACAGAGATAGAGGTCAGTTATACTGCAGTAATTCCTGTGTTGAACTGGTAGTGTTTGACCCCGGACAACCCCATACAGGTTTGAGGTGTCAGTTGACTCCAGTCTTTGAGTCTGGAAGGCAAAATATTCCCTGTGCTTTTTGGTATACTTTCAAATGAAATCTACACACGACGTACAACTTCTTTCCAAAGGAGTAAGGTTTCCTGTGTATTACAGATGTGTGTCGTCTCACAGAGACCTAGTGAAATATTAGAATTAGCACTAGGAAAGGATGTCTGAAGGATCTTGATGTTTAACCTGGCCAAGTTAGTCTTCCCGATTTGTGAAGGTTTAAACAATTAATATTTTCAATGGGACTGAGCCCCGGCTGGAAGAAAACGCCTTCCCAGATAAATTTAAAAATCTCAAATGTTTTAAGTTTTTTTTACACTCATAATCTGTGAGCATATACAGTAGTATTGGACTTTCTTGAATGGCAAAGTATAAAATGTACATATACTGTACACTATATTTTTCCAGGATAGGAAATATACAGTGTTATCATTGTTAGGCTTGGCATTGGTAAGATCAGTGTGCAAGAGCCAGGTTAGAGGGGAGAAGACTGAGTCGAAGGATTCTGGCTTAGCAGCAGGTCTTAGCAGCCACGTTCAAAGTGTGTGGTTGTGATCAGGGTGGGGATAGTTCAGACTTTTAACACAGCATGCAACTTTACAATTGTCTTTTAAATTGAATGTAATAAGTTTATACTTAGCCGTTTACAGTACAATTATCATTTTATTAGACAATATGTAAAAATTGCTACATTTTATACTTCAATGTCAAATGCCACTGAGCAGTCAGCAAGTTATCAAAATTGCACTGACTATATCATATGATATGCTGCTTTTTAGGCACTCCCATGTAGGGGAATGTAGAATAATGCAATAATATTTTTTCCAATATATTTAAAGTCCTTCAATACCTTGAACTGTATTTATGTACTATGTACTGTACTTTGTAATGTAAATACAAATATTGCTGAGGTGAGGTGCACAACACTGTAAAATATTCTGTATCATACCCTTTAAATATACTTTTTGTTTACTGTTATTTTTTGCAGAGTTTTGTTAGTACCTAACATTAAAGTGTATGTAAAATAATGTGATAGAAAAGTATTAAAGATGAATGTTATAAAAAGAACAAGACATGATCCTTTGCCGCTTTGGTTCAAATGTGTGGGAGTGAATGTCTTTATAGGTGGAGACGGAGAACATTCTTATGAAATGTTGCAGGCACTTGCTGCTCACTCTGAGGGGTTTCGTATTGTTGAGCTCTTGATCTCACTTACATTAATACAAATAAAACGCAGAACAGCACCTAGTGTATAGAGACACAGAAAGGAAGAAAAATGGGCTGACATCCAGAATTATTTAGCCATTATTATGTTAGGATATTTGTAATCTGTGAAAACGGATTATAAAGACTGACATCTTAAAGAGCAAACACCATAAACCTATCATGACACTACTATTTAAGTTACCTCCTAGGAGAAAGTACAGGTAGATACATTGAATGCTCCTTATTATTAAACAAGTGCTGTGTAACTGCTGTTTAGTGGATTCAAAGATTACACAAAACCTAGTAGTACTGTTTTCTTTTCTCTGGTTCTTGTTTTGTTTCCTTTCCACGAATTTCAGTATGTGCACAGATATCCTGGAAAAGCCAAGACACCAGCATAGCTTTGCTCAGTCGTGGCCAGATGGGTCTGTACAAGCTTGGTCGAGCACCCAATCTCCAACAGTGTGGGTTAGCCACCCATGTCAACCATATGCCAACTCCAGCTCGACCATCCATGTCTCTCAGTTTGTTTTTTATAAGTATACGTGTTCTGTTTTTTACTGTTTTGTATTTTTTGCATTATGATTTTCATGTGCAATTAAGATCTAGAAACTGAAATGTGGAAAAGAGATTCATACCACGTGTGTTTCAGACAATTTGCTTACCGTGTCTGAATGGCAAAGCTTACACCCACCCTCAATATGAGGGTGAAAAAAAACAGCTTTGTCCATGTGGAAATTACATTTCTGTAATGGAAAATGATTTAAGGCGTTTCCAAGGATTAATTGTTTTATTTTTTTTTTTCCTTAGATGCTGCAATTTGTTGATTGGCAATCAGAGGATTTAATTGAGATCTTAGAAGTTTTTAATATTTTTTCTTGTATGACTCCTACATATAACAGAAGCCCCACTGCCCTCAATTTTCCAGCTTAATTAAAAACTAATGATTGGAACTGAAATGCTGTACTAAAATAAGAGGTAATCAGATGTAGGCATTTGTCCTTCCTATAGCTCAGTGGTCTGTATCAACACTTGTTTCCGACTTTTCTGACTGCTAGAATTAAAAAAAAGAATGGCAATAGCAGTTTGATAACAGTTTTTAGTCTTTGATTATTTCTTTAATTGTATAAAGTTGCAGACTATTCTGCCTATCTGACTAGTTTGACTTATATATTGTTCCCGGGAAAAATATGTTTACAGTGTTAATCAGCATCAAGCAACATAACATCTTTGCCAGAAAAAGGGATGCTAATTCACATATATCTAAAATTCCTAATTTGTTACATACTGATTAATTCTATGTAATACTTTGGCCCAAAACAATCTTAATAATCCAGCATGTCCTGTGAAAGCTATATATATGTTTTTGCAAAGACATGATAAATGGTATTTTTTTATTTGGAATCATTAGTACTCTGTTTTATACACATCACTGTATCAACACTATATGAATGTTAACTATGAATGCTGTCCTGCTATAAACCCAGTTTTCTGAAAAGCCATTCACCCTTTGACATGAGAATTTCCACTGCAATTTACTGTACAGGAGAGTAAGTGCCTATTGGTGGTCCTGTGTTTCTTGTTGACAACACTACAGTCATATAAGTGCCCAGCTAGATCCAGGGGTTGCTATAATGGTGGAAAACTGGCCAACTCAGACACAAACAACCTCAATTGACTAGCTACATGTCACTGCAGAAGTATCCTGATCAGTCAGCGACTGACATAAAAAAGACATAGCTTTACCCAAAGTTGTGAGAATATGGAACAAGCTACCAAGCCATGCTGTTGAAGTCAATACACTGGTTTCCTTCAAGTACTATAACTGCTGGATGAGATCCTTGGACAAATTAATCAATTAATTGCAATTAAAATGAGCTAGATGGGACCAATGGCCTCCTCTCATTTCTAACCCTTCTTATATTCTTATAGCCATGGTGATGTCTATATCATGGGGCTCATTCTATATGCTGAGCCCATGCTGAGGGAACCCCAGTTGGTTAGTTTGTTTGTTTTTTTAATTAGCCTATTAACACCCGTAAATGCTGAATCAAAAAGAGAATATTAAAGACACATACTGCAAAGATTAATGAGTTTTATTCTCAGTTTTACATGCTGCATTCCATTCTGTCATTAGTCACATCACCCACGCATTACAAAACATCTGCTTCAGCCACAGAAAAAGTGCACAGGTGTCCTCTAATAGAAATATAAGCCAACAAAAAAATCTTCTAAGCTGCAATTTAAGTATTGTCTCCTTCACCGATCATTTGAGAAATTATTTTTGGCCTTAGTAGCATCACATCCCTTCGAATAGCTGTCATTTGTCTAGAAAGATTATTGGATTTTCAATTCAGAATTAATTTTCAACATGTTCTTGCAACATTTACAAACTAAAATAAAAAAGACAAGGTGTAATTAATTCCTTTAAACCCCAGACAAATCCTACATAAGTTTGCATTTTATGAAAATCTCCCTGGGGCATCATTTATTCTGGAAACCCCCTTACTTGAGTCCTGGATTCCATCCATATCTAACCACTTGTCAGCTTCCTGTTAAGAAATGGATTTGTTTCAAATAGAAATCCATAAAGCCTTGATACTAGGCAAGAACCTATTTTAACTTTGTCACATAACCCTTCCAGGTCTCATCAGACACAGTTCTTGTCAGTCTGCTTATAAGCTGACTGGTACCACAGTCTTATCAGATGGAGTGGTTACTTACCATCTTGATAACTTACAGTAGAAACAACCACCCAACAATCCAATGTGCTGTTCCTGTTGCCATTCCAATTCCAATTAATTCATCTCTGCCTCCTCCCAAAACCGCACACACCTCTTGGCTGCATTAGACAGAGGACGCAGATACTACAGTATCATGCAGCCCAGTGCTTGACTGGCACTGATGTGGAACTTTTAGGCTAGTTCCCTCAAGAGATGAGGCCAAAAACCAAACAATGTTGTAGACTGCATACTGTAAGTGTCCTGTTGCTTAATCACAATGTGTGCTTTGTGGCTTGAACGTGTGGGATCTCAACCCAAAATAATTCTCTGTACTCTCTCATCTCCCTCATCTAATTATTTAAGTTAGCTTCAACCCAACCTAAAACAGCAGTCTGATAAATGAGTATTTGAATAGCATACTGTACATGATATATATACTTGTACTACAGAAAACCAAGTGGGGGACTGCATCAGCACCCAACTTGCAAAGGAGCAAGTTACAGTAATTGTAATGGCTGTAATATGCTGAAAAGTAAAAAGAAGAAACACATTTCAGCTGCAGAGCCATCTTCAGGTGTGAGCCTTATGTTGTGTTTCTTAATTTCTTCTACATTTTAGAAAGGAATTAACCTCTACTCGGTCCTATGCTTACTATTGTGTTAACATAGAGTGATTGTGTTCTATATTGTTGTATTATTTAAATCTGATAATTTAATGATAATTACAATATCTTTCAGAGTATTACTTCAATACAAATGATTTTGAATATTTGTGTTTATTTTATTCTTGAATACCCTGCAAAGTGGGAAAAGTAGTGAAAAGTGCCATCATGAATGTTTTAGTAATTATTGTTAGTGTGTTTGTTTGTTGTCTATTCATTATAAATATACTGATGCAAAAATCAACTCAGATACACTTTAAATCTAATGTATTTAAATATTTTAAACATAAAAATGGACACAACACCTGTGAACAAAATATAGAACAAGTATCATATACAGTATCTTCAATATTAAACATTGGAAGCTGTCAAAATAAAAACATTACCAAGTTAGTATTAGGTGTGGCCTACTGGAGCATGAACACAATCATGATATATTAATAATAATAATAATAATAATAATAATAATTGCTTACACTTATATAGCGCTTTTCTGGACACTCCACTCAAAGCGCTTTACAGGTA